ACAAGAACATAGCGAATCTTCTAGACGAGGCCAGAGGGAAGCAGATTGCTGCTGGACTGTCGCCTCAAGGGTAGCTGTCTTTCAAGAGCGGGCTTATAGAAGTAAAGCTGTAAATAATAGCCTTTAGCTACCTTAGTTTACAGCAATGCACACCTTGCCGATGTGTTGACCTGATACCAAATACTCAAAGGCAGAAACGACCTCATCCCTCCCAAAGCCAAACACCTTTTCTACGGGCACATTGAGGTTCTTGGAAGTTACGAAGCGTGTGACATCTTCCAGCTGTTGCTTAGATCCAACCATGATGCCGCGGACGATTGCACCCTTTGATAGGGCAAGCGCTGCCACGTCAGGCATCTTCTCCTGGGGACAGGAGGCAAGGAACCCTATTACAGCAATGTTCCCGCCGTAAGCCACTGCCTCAATGCTTTGACCGATCGTTCCAGCTCCGCCGTTCTCGAGAATGAAGTCTGCACCGTGGCCATTGGTGATCTTGAGCACCTCCTGGGACCAAGCAGGAGTCGATTTGTAATTGATGGTATAGTCGGCACCGTACGTCTTTTGAACGTGCGCGAGTTTGTCGTCTGACGAAGAAGTGATGATCGTGACAGCGCCTGCAGCCCTAGCCAAGATAAGCCCAGTGATCGAAACACCACCAGTGCCTACAAATGTAATTAGCAGTAGCTCTTATGATTAAAAGACAAGAACCCTTACCGAGAAAGAGCACTGTCTGGCCAGGCTTCAACGGAACGTTGCCGTAAAGCGCATTCCACGCGGTGGTTCCTGTGCAGACCAGAGCCGAGAGCTGAGCGAAGCTGAGCTTAGTAGTTGAAGGTACCCTGACGAGTGCCGAGCTAGGCAATGTAATAAATTCTCGAAGAACTCCATCGTAACAACCACCCAAGCTATGGTGCCAATCCGGCATAGCACCGTACAAGGTCTTCAAGTCAAAGGATGCAATCACCTTGTCTCCCTCGGCGAAGTCCTCCACGTGGCTGCCCACACGTACAACCTCTCCAGAAAGATCAGAGCAAGGCACCACATTGTCTTTCACCGGGAAAGGGTACTTTCCGGTGGAAACAGCAAAGTCGCGGAAGTTGAGAGCGACATTCTTGATTCGGATCAAGACTTCTTGAGCGGAGGGTTTGGGCACGTTCTCTTCGCTAACCTGAAGGTCTTGGATGGAAGTGCGCTGGGGCAGTCGAAAAACTCGTTGTGTGGTCATAGCGAATAGGCTGTGTAAAGATTGAGGGGTAAAAGGTGTGACGAAGCAAGTTGAATACCCAGCTTGGTGATCGTACCTGAGCGCCTTTATAGCTTTCTAGGGGCACCAAGTATATCGAACCCAATGTTGATAACATTATGTATCTGCATACCAAACCACACCGCCGAGCAGATGGTTCCTTGTATGCACTAGGGCTATTCATACAGGTGTAACCGCAAGCGCCAGGTCTTTGGTCGGATGGAGATTGGACTGCACGTTTTTTATTTTCCAAACTACATGCTGGGTTTGGCTTGTGTCTGGCTAGATAGCGCTTAGGGGAGGCGATGTGCGATCATTTTCGTGCGTGCTTCCCTATTCGGGATATCGGGTGCTTCGGCTTGCTTCTGACACGGCCCAACCTCGGTAAAGTGCTTGGTAATCGTTGAGACCCTAGCGTCCCGAGGTCAGGGCAAGTGGAAGCGCTCCAGGGCTTACCCACCTTCCCTACGATCACCTCAGTGCATTAGTGCTTCCATCCCCCGTCCTACATGATACATCAATACGTAGTTTCTGACATATTGCCTTAATGGCAGGTGACTCAAAGATCGTTGCGCAAGCCAGTCGAACAAGGTCTCGATTGGGTTGGTAAGATCGAAACTACGTCATCATTGCCTTCATAATGCTAATGTTGCAAGCTGAAGCCTATGCTGCCGGCGTAGAAGGCGGAAGTGTGCGTTCTATCCCAGTTCTCGTGCGTGTTTTTTGGTTCATTTTTCCTAGGCGATGGAGCTCAGCCACAATGCCGGGGTTGTCAAGCTCGCGGTGATGAGTGCCGCTGGGGTCTGAAAGCGTCGTTCCATCCGTCCAGGGCGCTACAATTGTCCAGCGAGGATAGCGCTGCTTTGCTTGCCGTTGAAGGGGAACGAGGCCAATCTGGCGGGCAATCCGTAACGACTGTAAGCTAGGGTCGACAGCTTTCATAGGTCTTCGTCAAGTGTGCGTGCTCACAGTGTTCAGATCGTGGATAACACGGATCAAATCGTGCGCGAGTACCAAGATTTCTACGCTGCCACATCCCTAGATCCTGGGAGCTCGAGCGCGGCCGCAGCTCGGTCAGAAAGCCACTTGGACGCGAGCACTTCTGATTATCATCTGGAAGCTTCCGTTGCAGAGTACGCCGAATTGGAGCTCACCTCGTCAAGTTCGGCTGTGTTGGACCGCAACGTCGCGGCAGGATTGGCCGCGACGGCTCAAAGTCAGGGCCTTGAAGACGGTGGTCGTTTGCTCCAAAGCACCTTTCCCTCTCTGTCCTGGCATACTTCGTCAGTGAGCACGTCAGCCTCCTCATCTCTACTTGATCGATCCGTCAGCTGTATTGCGCCATCAGAGATTGAGGCTGACCTTCCTGTATCCAAGGCGGAACAGGCTCTTCTCGTTCGTGTGTATCTGCAAGAAACGGGAACGTGGTGCGAGGCCACAGACTCAGGCAGGCACTTTACGGGATCATATGTTCATAAATTGATGGAGAACAAACCGTTCGCAGCCGCAGCCATGGCTCTGGCATCCCGACAGCTTGACGCCGTACGTCACAGTCCGCGTCAGAGTACGTTAAGCCTTTATCAGCATGCTGTGCAGTCACTGCTTCACTATGAACCATCTCAGTGTGGTGAAGCTACATTAGCCACTTGTATCCTCCTAAGTGTCTATGAAATGATGGCTTCTGATGTTGGCGAGTGGAGACGCCATCTTAAGGTTCGTTTGCCAGGTAAGATTGGTGGATTGCCGATGTTGACTTCTTCTACAGGGCTGTGTCTGGAACTTGAAGTCTAAGGGTTGGAACGGCTCTAGTCCAGGACTTGTGAACGCCTGTTTCTGGGCTTTCGCACGTATAGGTACATTATGGTTACATCGCATCACGTACTCTTGCTGAATCGTTCTCAGATGTATGGGCAGCCTTTGTTCTCGAAGAAGAGACCCTGATACCAACCGGTGATTGGGTCGATGACAGCAATGTGCAGTCAATTGCGGCCACTGCATCAATTGACGCTTACTGCAATCTTGCTATACTTATCTTCGCGAAGATAATAAATCTCATTGCAATGAGCCGGAAACAACAAGGACACTTATCTGACAGCCCGTCTACTATTAACGCATTGTGGCGTGAACTACAAGATTGGCGAATTCATCGTCCGAGGCAAATTCTTTCTCTCATCAGAACAGAGGCACATCAAGGGAACCCATTTCCGACTGTTCTATATACCAGCAACTCGTCGGTTTGCGGCAACACTTTCTACCATGCCGGGTCCATTCTGTTGCTACGGACGGGAAATGTATACCAGGACGAGATGCACGCTGAGACAGAGAGGTATGATCCAATCTGGCATGCCAAAGAGCTCTGCGGGATTAGCTTGGCGAATCCATCGCATGCCAACTGGGGCAATCACTTACAGCCTCTTTACATTGCTGGGCAGGTATTCGGCGATAGCTCGACTAAGCAGCAAGTTGTCCCACCACGACTGAATGAGAGCGACATTGCAAACGATGTGAAGTATGCGGCAGAGAAGCTCGCGCTGTTGAGACACCTATCCAAGATAGAGCAGGAGATTGGCTGGATAACCTCTGGTAGAGCAGCAGACCTAAGAAGGCTTTGGGGGCTCGGGTAAACAAATTGTAGAGTGTAGCATGTTACTTGTTCTTTTATGTTGCTGTTGCTTATCGTGTTAAGTAGGAGTAATTAGCGGAAGGTGGTCGACAAGCATGCCCTATGCGACTAATAGAAGGCAACAGCTTCTATGTACACGTCAAACGATGTTGCAAGCTAAGCGCTATTAGAAACTTTGTCACTAACAACGCTGTGCGATAACCTTTATCGTAGCTTAGCTGCCGGGAAGCATTGGGCGAACAGTCTTTCGTTCGTCGTTCACCGTTAATATTTACTCCCACAACGGACATATCTTTCACATACGACCATAGGATCTTGAGAATTAGGCTTCCCGTCCGCTCAGCCATATACAAGCAAGATACCGGCGGATTAGTACTCGGGTGGGTGACCACCGGGGAATCCCCGCTGTTGTATGTTTTTGGACTTTTTTTGCGTGTGGAGGGCAAAAAGAGGTTCTATGTTTTTGCCATTTGAACCAGGTTTTGACTACCCTGGCTATCTTTCTGCGAACATGACGCAGTATCCAGTAGCTGAAGGAATCACAACTTGTCGTTGCTCATCGTGTTGAGTGGGGTCAGTTGGTGGGGAACTGTCGGCAAGCATTTCCTGGCCGGCGCGCAATGCACAAGGTTCGTGAGAACCCGAACTAGTGGTCTATCCAATACTCTCGGCGGCTACATGTCGATCATGCGTGTTGTCCAAATTCACCGCTGGTTTGCGGGGACGTGAAAAGCTTGTTTGCATTTGTGAATGTTGGGACGGTGGATAATGTTGTGTAATGATACGTCCGGATGGTTCGCGTATCGCTGGCTGTACTTGACAATTCGTCAATGACATGTGACGGAGATCTAGTACCAACATCACCAAGAGTACGGTAGTGTTTTAGATCATATATATTTCTTTGATATTGACATTAGGTATTAAGTTTCGTTTCGTATCCACTTCATCATACAATCTCTTCTGATCTCATCTCAATTCAAGTATTCAACTCCCTCCTCTCCATGTGTGGTATAATGCGTAAACGTCGTAATAGAGTACAGGTGTAAGGAAAAGTGGTCATGCTCATAAGCATTGACCTTACTCAATTTAGAGCATCGCCAATCTCATCTTCTCATGAAGATGGGGTGTAATGGCTTAGTAGTTGGTGGCTGAGCCGTAGGTAGCGGTGTTACCGTTGTTGGCGTAATTGGCAGTAGGAGCGACGTGAGGAGCAGTGTGGTATCCACCGGTCACAGGCTTGTCGGTCGCGAAACCAGTGTGGGGAGCAGCGACGGTGGAGCCGGTGTAAGCGGTGTCGTGGCTGGGGCGGTAGTCGTGGGTGCCAGCAGGTACAGCGAGGCCACCAGCGGTAGTAGCAGGGACGGTACCGACTTCAGGGTCGCGGTGTCCAGTGGTGCGGTTAGCCTTGCGGCGCTGCCAGAACTTCATGCCGGAGCCCTTGGTGTAGCCGTTGCTGGGGCCGGGACCGAACGCCTTCTCCTTCTTGTGGTGCTTCATGAGGAAGACCTGGACGAGGGCGCTGAGCAGGAAGAGGAAGGCGCCGATGATGGCGACGGCGAAGCAGGCGGTGTTGAGCTTGCAGATCGTGCCGAGCGAGGCGGAGTAGGTGATCTGGTCGCCGCGGCCGTTGGAACCGAAGCCTTCCTTGGAGTTGGCGGGTCCGTCACCGAGGGGTGTCTGCACGCGGCCGGAGCACTTGGATGCGCCGTCGCGGGTCAGGACGGCGACGGCGATCATGGCACCGCAGCAGAGGATGTCGAGGAGTATGCCGAGGAAAGCAAAGATTTTCTGGACATGGCATTAGTGTGTGTTGGTATTTATATCGCCAAGGGATTGTCTTACCTTTCCGCCAAGGAAGCAGGTCAACAGGACTGCGAAGATGGTGTACAGCACAGTCGCACCAGCGAGGCCGGTAACGGCCTGTTGCCAGACGGGGATGTTGACATCGCGGTCCGCCTCTACAGACAGGAAGTAACTGTAGATACCGAGGATGATCGCGGCACAGCAGAACTCAAGCGCATACAGCGCTGTAGAGCCCAGCTTCAAAGCAGCACCGCCGAAACCCATTGTCGCAATTAAGACTCGAGGTAGATGAGAGAGGTGCTAGGATCGGAGAGGTGATGAGAAGGGCGATGCTCAAGGTGTGTGTATTTGTTGTGATGTTAGATTGTGAATACTCGCCAGCCACAGGGGGAGCGAAAAGGATTTATGTGTCTCTGGTTGTTTCGATACTGCCCCGGGCGATGACGCAGCCTTGCAACTCGCTTTCCATCATCCAGCATTGGCGCCGTCGTCCCTGCCTTGTTCCGTCAAAGTTCGCTGTCGATCCCGCCCCGTGCGTCAGCCACGCTACCCACTAGCCCGCTTTTTGAACCCTGCTTTTACTCTGCCATCGACCACACGTCATTTTTTTCACCGACCTATCTCATCAAACTTGTGCCCTGAATCGACCAAACAGCGTCCTGGACTGCGCCCCGACCGAGGGTTTCGCCGACAAAGGAAACTCAAATTCGGAGCTTGTGATGGTGCTGCCACAAGCAAGATGATCTCAAGCGCAAACTTGGCAGATGAGGTGTTGGTGGTTTTCCAGGGTTCTTTGGATGAAGTCGTCGACGTGGCTGCGACTGGATACGAGGCAAGCCACAGTCTGACAGGCACAATGCACATAGGCGGGTAACTCCCTGCACACGTTCCAGGCCCTCATCGAAGTCATGTCCATTTCAAGTTTCGATATTCCAATGTTTCAACCGTCACATGAAAGAAACACAAATGTGTTCCGTCGTTCCATCGCCCACACGCCCAGCGTTCCCGCATCACGCACGCTTCTCTTTTCTTTTTCTTTCGCGTTCGCATAAGCCGTCGTGGTTCGTTGATCTCGGATCCGTCTGATCCGGTAGTGGTACGCAGCGCCGTTATGTGTCTAATGCTCGCGGTGCTGTGTAACCAAACTAGCAAAACCTGAACTCAGCCTGATCGTGATCGTTTTAGCTGCGGCAGTTGCTTTTCCCCTATCTGCTATGATGCGGAGGACCCTCCGCAGCCGCACGCTACCTTCCCCACGAAATTACCTTAGCCGGCGATCAGACATTGGTGGCAGTGCGTGACGTCGTGGCTGCTACCGATGATCGTCGGCGGCGCCGTGGCTGTGATGACGATCGAGCGCTGTCACTCGAAGTGATCAGAACGAGTTGGACTAGATGGAGTGGTTTGCAAGAGTCGTAATGGTATGCAATGAAATTTGTGCTTGGAAATATTATGAACGTCCCCGTTATCGATACTAGGCTTAATATTTCACATGCGTTCAAGCACGCATGGGCCAGAACATGTCCCTGCTTCATACTAAGTTTCTCTGCTAACTACACGTCGCCGGTCTCAAATGACAAGATCAGTCTGAGAACGGAGAGCACCTTGGAACGTATTTTCTTATACTCCGAAAGCATACCCGTCCCTTGCTCGCCTCAGCAGCGCCGTGCATCTTCAACATAACTTCCTTGTCTTTCGCTGGCCTCACACAAGATTTGCGGCCCTTCATAAAGAGACAGTGTTAAGAGTGGCCGGGTGCTGTGGCAATGCGCAGGAGTCTTTAAGAACAGGTTCTAGAGACGTAATGGCTCGTTCTCTTGATACTGGTCTACTTACAAGGTGGGGAATCGGGTGAAGACAAGTCAAGCATAGAAAGCGCTGAGATAATCTTCGTGGCCGACATCAAACCATCTGGGACGAATAACGGCGCGTCGGAAGAAACAGGATCTTACTAATTCATGTTGTATTATCCTGAAGATGGTTTCCCTCACATTCCATGTTGGTTCTCTAAAGTCGACGATTGTACTTATCTTCTTTATCCTCTTGTTCTCTCACATTTTGCTGCACACACACACACACACACACTCACTCACACTATCAAATTCCGATAGTTGGTCGAAGACAGCGTATATCTGGGAGGCAGTTGGAATCTGCGTCGCAGTTTGTTGCACACCGACCATGCTCAATCTCACATCTGGACTTGGATTTGTTACCAGCCAGTGGAGCTCAGTATCACAAAACGAGCATGGGAATAAAGCCATTCCTCCTTGTCGATACATACGGCTTATATAGTTAACAAGTACCTCGGATGGCGTATGGTATTGGTTGCAGGAGGCATGTGTGGCTCGTTATTAAGGTGTCATGGCCGTACCATGGGATAAAGTGGATGGTAACCACGGTATAGTTCTGCCATCACAACCACACGGTAACAGTGTGAGTCAGAGACGAGTATATATTCTGTTGGTCATAAAACTGTTCAAATTATCTTCAATCATCCCTCACGCTGTGCACTTTAACCCACTCGCTTACGACAACACGTACGAGCAACCTGCGCCGTAACCTCTTTTCACAACCCTCTTACCCTCTTCCAAGACAACCACGGCCCATCATACAAGCGCTTGCGCAGTGCCAGCAGCCACGATGTCATCTTCCCAAGACATACCCATCGAAACCCTCACTTACACTCTCCCGCACAAAAAGCCCCATCTCATCCTCGACGGCCTCATAGACCGCATGTCACCAATCTCCTTCCTCATAGACCCACCACCCGAAACCCGTGTCTGCGGGTCTCTCGAAATCTTCCCCACAGAAATCCTCCTCAAAATCATCGAAGATATTACCATCAGAGACACGATGCGTTTCCGACGCTGCTGCCGCTTTGCCATGCACCTCGTCGACACCGAGTCGCCTCTGCGGTACGCGTTGAAGTGGGCGCCAAACACCGTGAAAGGAATGATAGCGATACGGAATACAGTGTACATTACACCGAGGATGTTGTTACGCACACTCCGACATCGAGGCTGCTCGTTCAAAAGGAGTGGGGGCAAGTGTTGTGGAAGGTCAGCAGAAATAGTCTACCTACCTACATGCACGCGCCTCTGCCTTTCCTGTCTAGAGACCGGCCACCGGCGGCCCGCGAGTAAAGAGGCGGTAGTGCGTGCCCGCCACCTTGAAAACACGGGCCATGAGGATCTGAGCCCTTTGCCCCATTTCCGGGTTCTACCTGTCACGTTGACGAATGGGTTGAACAGGTTCTGGATCAAGGCAGAGGAGAACATGTACGATTGGGAATATGTCGATGAGGTGTATTTGCATCAGGCACAAAACCCACGCGACACTGGTGGTGTTCGATACACAGACTATTGGTTCAAGCGTTGCATCTTTATGGGTGAATTGAAGGCGCAGTTTAAGACTGGCTATCGCCGTACGATTGTGGATGTTGTACCGAAGAGGACGGTCATGGGTATGTGCTCTGTTTGGGCTCCGGTGATTGACACGGTGCCGTTGGCGGCGGAGGAGAAGTTGTACTGCTTGTGTTGCTTGGGAACTACGATAAAGCGGGAAGTTTTCACTAGAGAGTCGTTCTTAGTTCATCTTAGGGATGTGTGCCGTGTCAGGCCGATTAGGGATGTGTGTCGTGTCAAGCCGAAAGCGGTTTGGAATCGGGTCGATCTTCCTGAGCTGGTTCTTGCAAGCGATTGATCGTAAGACGCTTTGTTATGGGAGGTGCACTGATAGTTTGATAACCTGGCATTTAAGCCATATGCTTGGATCCTATCGTTTGCCAGTTGCTTGGACTGATTTATGTCTGATACAAGCTAGAATAACCATGAAGTTTAACACTTAGTAGTATCAGTAGTACCAATAATCATTCGTCTTCCACCGTCAAAACCCCAAGGCGCCTTCAACCTGTAGTTGTCTTCAATCATTTTGAGCCAGTACTTGATGTCATCACCATCTTCATACTTGAGGGTAACCTCATCGCAACCACGGTCTTCCCAATCAACATATGCCCACCCTTCATCAGTCAGTTCTGGATGATACTCATAATTCAGTTCCACGACACTTGGACGAAGTTGGTGGAACCTCCTCAGGTAAAGGCCTAAGTCGCCTAAGCCGAGTTGTCGTATGGTGACCTCTTCCAGATTTAGTTCTTTCCTAATAAAACGTACGATTCCGACAGGCCAGGTGACCTTACGGGTCCATACCTCCCCCAAGCACAGGATCTTCAAGGTATCTTTGATGGGGCGTAAACAGTCTTCGAGTTGAGTCTGTGTCGTTTTCAGATTAGAAAAGGATAGCCGACGCAGCGTGGGCAGATTCAAGGACTGATTGATGGATTCGAAGACTTTGTCGCAGTGACTTGCACCTCCAAATCCAATGTGTAGATCATCCAATTTTGCGGCGGCTCGGAGCAGGCTGCAAAGATTGCGAATATCTCCAGCATCATTATCTGTAACCATTCAGTATGGAGCGGCTGTATGAACCCCAGTCATGTACGTACCTTTGCCAGTACCGAGAACCATGTCTATATGAAGCATCCGAAGCTTTCCAAGTTGATTCGTTAATGTGATGATGTCTCCCAGGTGAGAGGGATCAGCTGCCATGATAGTGCTGTTGGCGCATATGGATAACTCCTCGAGAGACCGGATAGTAGGAATTGCCGTCGCCAGTAGCGTTCTCAATGTTGTAGCCCAGTAAGTCCACAATAGCTCGAGTTGCTTCCGTTCATCGACCCTGAAATTGTAGCCAGTCTCCCTGATGTGAAACCCAACAAGATTCGGTAGCTTAGACAAAGCAGAAGCGAGAATTTCTGCACAATCACCATTCTTTAGCCAGGTGCTGATGTTCTCGTCCAATAGTGAATTTGGGTCCTTCTGTATGCATACGTCCCGGAATGGATGGACGGTACCACATTGGATAGTCACAGACTCGATATGGTGGGCTAGTGGTCCCCTTGAGATGCGCAGCAATTGGTTGAGTCCTGTCTCGCTGAACGGTAGTTTGATTCGCTTGTAGTGGGTATTACCAAAATACCGCACGATCTTGCCATCGAGCTGTTTGCATGTAAGACGAAGCGCTTCGCATAGCTTGCGACTGCTGGAGCGAGTCTCCGCACAGCATACGATATTGAGAAGGAGCTCTATTGGTAGGCTGGGAAGGTTGGCCGCCATGACTACTGCTACCATTCAGTTAATACGAGGAGTAGAGGAAGGTGCGACATCTACATGAGCTCAGGACTGTACGCACCAACGAGAGATGTC